GATTGTTCAAGCCTCTCGTGGGGTTTAGGGTTGGTTGGTTGGTTGTCAGTCCAGATGGACAGCTTCTGGGCACAAGCGGTAATGCCGTCTAGCCGGGGCCGTATATACGTGAGGCCAGCCATTCCCTGCACCGCAGTACTAGGGTCGCATCACCTGCAAGCATTTCTTCACGTTTGCCAGCCCCAGAAGTTCTGCGCTCGCGAACAGATGTCCTCAGCCAACTGCACCACTTTGTGGTGAACCCCAAACCCTAAACCTTAAACCCCCTATAAACCCTAAACCCAAGCGTACATCTGAACCCTGCCCCCTTGCCAATTAAGCTTATACCTCGAAGCCCGAACACCCATCAACACCACAGCCCCGAATCCGCTCAAGCCCTAAACCCTGAAGTTCAAATCCTATAGAACCCTAAACCCTAAAAAACTTCCCTAAACCATTCAAGGAACCCTTAAAAGGAATCCACGAAAGAGGAAGCCAAGGACCCTAAACCCTAAACCCTGAAAGACTGGAAAGGTGGTTAACCCTAACCCTAAACCCCTAAACCCTACTAATCCCTAAATCCTCAAAGACTGCAAAGGTGGTGCGCGACATCCTCAGCCGTTGCCTGGAGCCGACCCTGGCGATGATTCGGGCGGCTGGGACGCGAATTTTGCTCGAAGGTTTGGGCTTCAGGGTCCACGTCTCTACATAGCATATGCATATGTATAGAGAACAATATATGCTCATATATGTGTATATATACATACATACATACATACATACATACTTACACATATACAAATACATGTACATATACATATGCGTATACATATACATATACATATACATATACATATACATATACGTATACATCTGCGAAAAAAAATATATATATATATGTGGGCCTTAAATAGGCTCCTGTATGGGTAATTTACGGCCTAGCACGGGAATGGTTCATGTAAGGGTACCACAGGGTCCATGGTGATTTCTAGAAGGATTCTAGAGCTCGGGGTGTGAAGTTAATGGATTTAGGGTTGAAGCTTATGCTTGACGGTTATGGTTTTGTGGTTTTCTGTTGAAGACTTCGATCGGGGCTTAATAGTCTGTCTGCAGTATACGGTATATACGTGTGTATTACAAATATGTTTATACAGACACAGATGGACAGACTGATACATGTAGACAGTTAGATAGATTGGTTGATATTTGGACAGAGTGGTAGAGAGAGCGATAGATCTACAACCTATACGAGCAAATATGCCTAAATATGAGCAACATATATAAACATATATAAACATAATAACTTAAACATACATATGTATGCAGATGTATGTATATGCCGCGAGATGCTGAAGCTCAGGATCTCGTCGCAATCGAGCCGCTTCGATGCGTTTGTCGGGCCCGGCATGTGGTGGCACCCTGTCGGGTTTGGGTCGGAATAGCTAGTAACAGTAAGTGTGGTCCCGTACTTAGTTCCACTGTAGTCTATAGGCCCATAAACCTGTGTTTCATGATTGTGCCCTCTACATGTCAGGATGGGCGGATTTCGGGTTTTGTGTTATGGCGATGCTGCGATTGCAGCAACAACAACAGCAACATCAAAAGCAACGGCAACAGCAGCAGCAGCAGCAACAGCAGCAACAACAGCAACAGCAATTGCTGCTCTGTTTGCTTCAGGAACTAGCACCAATGCGAACCGGGACAAGACCAGTAATCATCATGACCTGTACGACCATCATCAGCATCATCATCGGCAGCATCTGAATGCTAGTGAAGCTTCAGCAATTATGATTGTTTTACTGGTCATGTTCCAAAGTCTGACAGAGCTTGCAAGGTTTACGGTAGTCTAGAGTCTAGAGCTACGTTTTTCGTTGCTTATCACCACACTGCAGCATACCATTAGCAAGTTTCCTTGAGGCCTCCCATACGGGACGACCCGAATTGTGTTAAGGCCTTGGCAGTATGGTCCAGATCTGGAGCTTATGACCCACCCAGGAACTTCAGGGTGTAACCCTTGCATGTTCGGTTCGACCTGCAATGAAGATGGAGTAGGTCTTTGAGACCTGCGCTGGTTTCATTGGAGACTAGAGGCTAGTGAGTTTGTAGTTTCCAGCCAAAGTCATTGTCTCATTGTCAGAGCAGGAGGAGGAGCGGGTAGCTGTAGATGAGGGTGCGCAGCTCCCTTATAGTTCCTAGCATTCGTTATACATCAATGCTGAACATTAGTAGTTCTCTAACTTGGGATCTCTCTTTAGGTTCTAAAAATAGAGCCCCAAAGAGACCCTAGTTTAGATGACTCCCCATATTTCGTACGGTTCCCTATTATTATACTATGAAGGAGCCCAAAACCCTACTATTGCCGTGATTAAGGCCCCTGCATTATTCTCCCCAGGATGGCGTACATCAACACCAACCACCCTGACTTTGCTGCTTCAGGGGCGCTTCGCAGCTCGGTGTCCGATTTTTGGAGGGGGTTCAGGGGTTGGGGTTTAGGGTTTAGAGTTCACGGTTTTGGGGCTTGGGGTTGGGGGGTTTAGGGTTTGGGGTTAAGGGTTTGAGGCTTAGGCTTTGGCGGTTTGAGTTGACGGTCTAACAGGTCCCTCAAGCAGTCAAAGTGTTCATGTTTGGCCCCAGCCCGCCCAATCCTACCTGACTTGTTGGGCCCGTCTATGTGCCCTGATTTGGGACTTAAGGGCGTTTAGGCTGGTATCCCCAAAACCACCCTTACGGTGCCCTGGGACTCGCAGTCGTGACGGTTATGTTAGTCCTCGAGGCTAGTAGCTTCAGCCTTAATTTGCTCAGATCCTTGAGCCTTTTCAAGATGCTTGAGATTGCGATTGATGTTTGAGCATGCGGGGTTTGCGACTCCGGAAGCCTATGTTTCACAGGCAAGCTACGAGGTAATGGAGGCGAATGAACGTTGGGAGGTTCGTGTCTGGTGTGGTTCATGATCGGGATACGGGCTAGCAATGTTTTCCTAGACTGATGTATTCCACGATTCATGTTTCCAGGCCACCTGGTCAGATGCAGGTAAGACTCTCAAGCAACCCCTTCAAAGGTACGGACGCTGATAAAGGTAGAGATAGTCTGCCGGCCCCTTTTGTCAACCCCGCCAAATGCCAGAGCCTACCCCGTAGACCCTACCTACATCTTGAACCCTACCTAGTCAAGTATCTATGATATGGGCGAGACCCTTGAAACCCGAAACAACCCTAAACCCCTAAAGCCCTAAGCCCTAAACCCCCCTAACCCCTAAACCCGAGGCCCAAAGCCCTAAGCCCCTAAACCCCCTAAACCCTAAACCCCCTAAACCCCTAAGCCCGAAACCCGAAAGGGCTGTGGAGACTACGACCAGATTCCTAGGACATTTTCAGGTGGGTAGTTACCCTTATTGGAGCCTGAACAGAGCCTTATAGAAGGTTGTAGAATTCCTGTTCCGAGCCTTTCGAACGGTTGAGTTCCGCTCTTGACGTTTTGGTTCTAGCCATGAGAGGCTTTCTGAGTGGAGCTGAGCTCCATGTTGAAGAATTCATGATAATGCTACATGCCTTAAGGCACAACCGCTCATAGAGCATTTGAGATCGTTCAGAGAACATCACTTTGCGTCGCTGTGAGTGAAGAAATTCGACCGCCTCTAGTTCCATGGATGCAACCCGCCACTGAGTGACTGTTGGCAACCTCTACTTCTGGAACTTAAGGTGGATATGAATCCGAATGATTATGATGATGGTGACCAACAGGTTATGAGTCGCCCAAGCGCTACCGCGGATTCAAGGGAAAGGAGAGCTGTGACAACTGATCCGGTTGTAAACGGTGTAAACCCCCCGCTGGGTGGACGCCTCGACATGGACGGTGAAGTTACGGTCTCAGGTATGGATATCGGATTGAGAGCCTCGGAGGTCTCGGTGGATCAGGCTGGTACAGAGGGCCGTGTTGAGGAGCAAACCAGGACGGCTGGTGCTTTCCCGGCTGCACCGACCTCTGCTAGGGATTTTCTACAGGCGCCTTCGGATAGAGACGGAGGTTATCCAGAGGATGGGTCTACCCATCATGCTAGGGGTGAACGTGGAATGGATGTGGGCCGCCTTGGGAGTGGATCTGGTGAGGCTCACATTGCTGAGCCAAGGCCGCAGAGAGCAGGAGACAGTGTGGAGTATGCATCTGTTGCATCGTCTGTAACCAGGAGAGATCCCCAACAAGTTCCATCGGAGTCCCAGGTCCCTGGGACCCCGCCGTTTGACTTGCATACGATGGATAGATTGAGACAGCTTCATGCTTCAGCACCCCAGTTGTTGGGGTCGAGCCCTGCACCTCAACAGCCACGCCCACCATCTACGGCTTCGAGCGATATTCAGGCTGAGGTGAGGAGACAGCTTGGGGAAGTGGTCTCCGTGTACGAGGAAGAGACGAGGAGGTTGAGATCCCAAGTTGAGTCATTGGTTGCCGAGAATTATGAGTTGCGTGTACATAGCCAGACAGAAAATGTACAGAGTAGACCCGGGAGCTCACGTCAGTGGCTAGGTAATCAAGGAGGGTTTCCTGGTTTTGGATGGCTAGGACGGGGTCTAGGCTCGATCATTGGAGGCGCAACGCCAGTTTTCTCACGCACCTTGGACTCGGGTCAAGGGGTACATGAGGAATACCCCAACTCCTCTCAGCGCCAGTGGACTTCGTGGATTTCTCCTCAGACTTCCAGTTACCCACCGGCTCCTCCTCCACCGAGGCCCTCACAGAATTCCAATGAGGACGAAGGCACCCATGGGCCTCCACCCCCACCGCTGCCTAAGCCATGTTTACCTTTGCCACCTAGACCAGCACCACAAGCAACCGCTGCCCCTGTGCTTCCTAGCGAGGTGTCTTCGTTTGTCACGCAGGGCCCCTCACGGAGTGTCCAGGAGGTTCACGCCGATGAGCTGTATGGTGCCGATGGTGAGGGGATGCATAGGCCAGATAAAGTTGTAGGTGAACCTCTCGATGGACAGACCGGGCCCTTCACACATCCTGGTGAGCAAGATGATGCTATGAATGTCGTACTTAAGGGCATGGCACAACTGCAAGGATTGGTTACCGAGTTGTCTACGTCGCCGAAGCAAGGGGAGAAACCAGAGGCCATTAAGCCAGGGGTTACAACTTTACCCGACTTACCAAGTCCTGGTCCAGAGAGTTGCCTTCTGTTTTCGGACTGGATTCATAATTCGAAACCCCCTCTGTCGGACGTTTCTGACACTAGTGAAGAACTGTGGGAGACTACCCTCTCTGAGGCTTCCGACTGGTATAGTAGATACCTGAGGCTGGACCCGTTGAGTAGACTCGTGTCAAAACCTGAACCCTCGCAACTGTTGTGTCAAATCAAGTGGGCCCGAGTCTCCCGTCGCATAGAGACGATGATCTTGGCAGCTCTTCCGTCTTCAGTTCGGCTGGAGGTGAGCGCCTCGCGCGTGAGCGGATTGCTTGCACTTGTTTGTAAGCTCTATGTTGTGTACGCACCCGGAGGCGTGTCGGAGAGAGAGCTTGGCCTAAGACACATTCAGGATCCTCCTCAATGCACTGGTGTCGCTGAAACGGTAGAGGGCTTACGCAAATGGAAACGCTGGTGCGGGAGAATGACTGAACTGGGTGGGACACTTCCCGATCCTGCCCTTCAGGTTCGAGCCCTGTCGAAGTTGACGAAGGGAGCGCTCCAGAGCAATCCCGATATTTCGTTTCGAGTAAACCTCTTGAGACACACCTTGCAGGTTGATGTCAATCCTGACAATGAGAAGGTTCAGAAGTTGCATGCACAGCTGCTGAGCGAGTTTGAAATGATAGGCCACGGGTGTGTGTTACCTAGGGAACCTGTTCTCCCGACTCAGCAACCTCAGGCTAAGGTAAAGGGTGTAGAGGCTTCCGATGGTCAGGGTTTGCCGAAGGGTCAACCAAAGGCACCCAAGAACCCGCCTAAACCGCCTCCACCTCCGCCTAAGCTCCCTTCCTCGGGAGGTTCGACCTCAGCAGTTGCTGGCAAGACCCTGTGCACGTTTTATGCGTCCCCTACCGGGTGTAAGAAGGGCAGTGATTGCAACTTTGAGCATAGCTGGTCTTCAATACCTTTTGAGGACCGTAAAGGGAGATGTAAGAACTGTGGTGCGAAGGGCCATAAATCCGTCGATTGCAAGGCAGGTGTGAGGGAAGGTGACCCAAAGGGGAAGGGCAAGCCATCACCTAAGTCACCTCCTAAGGCCCCATCCGGTTCTGCTAATCAGGGTTCCCCGTCGCCACCAGCAGCGCCACAGGACTCCCAGCAGCAGATTAAGTCAATGTTAGCTGACGCAGCTTTGATACTTCAGCAGGCAATGCCCCCTGCTGGGGGAGTTGCAGGCAGCCAGCCGAATCCTCGGGTGCCAAGTGTCCCGATTGCAAGTCAGCCAAGACCGGCCCAGGAGGATGTAGCTCAGGGAACGCCGATTTCTCTTGCCTCTCTCAGTGCGCAGCTTGACACGCTAAGAGCAATGACCAGAGAGTATGAGGCCAAGATGATAAGGTTTGATGAGGACATTGCGCAGGTTTCTGCAGTCGCTCTACTTGATAGTGGAGCGACGCACGCCGTCGTCCCATTTACTGACACCATGTCTGGGTTGCAGCGAGTGCCGGTTACACTCGCTGGGGATTCAAGAGAAGAGTGGTATCGCACCAAGGGCGGTACCTTAGTGGTACCTCCTCTCGAGGAGACTGGGGTTGCTTCAAGGCCTCAGACGATACTTCCACTTGGAGCCTTGGTGGAAAGCCTGGGTTGCTCAGTAAACTGGAGCAAGCGTGGCGGACTTCGTGTGAGCCACCCTCGGCTCGGAGTCCTGCGGACAGGCGTTGGGCGTAACACCTGCCCGTTCATCCAAGAGGACCAGGCCTTATCCCTGATAGCCGAACTGGAGGATCAGAGATTGAAGGAATTTAAGACTCGGGTGCAGGATCTAGAGATTCATATGGAGTCGGTGAGTGCACCCGTTGATCCAACAGAGGCCCTGAGGCGCTTCGCGATCTCTGGTGATAGAGGTGAGGCCCTACGAGCAGTGATGTCTCAACCCTACTTTGAGAGGGTTGGGGAAGAGGTGAAGGTTGAGCTCATTGAGGGCCTTGTGGGGTTAGATGAAAATGCCGGAAAGCATATGTTGAAGCAGCTGCCTGTGAACCGTGCTAATCGGAGGGCGTTGTTGGCCTCAGAGAATTGGGTTATTCATCTGTGCTCTGGCCCCTCCACTGCTGATAATCCTTTGAGGGAATGGTGTGAGAATAGGAACTTCAGTCTCATTGAGGTTGACTTGAGACAGAAAGGGGGTAAGGGCTGGGATATGTTGAAGACCGGCGGAGTCTGGAGAGCGCTCTTGTGGGGAGCTGCTACAGGTCGCATCGTTTCCATCTTTTCATCCCCGAGCCCCGGCCTTCAGGAGCAAGGTTCTGCCTTGGCACTCCAGCCGCTTTTGTTGTGGTCACTTGCATCCGTTGCCAGACGCCAGGGTATTCCCTTTGTGTTTGAGGTCCCTAGGCACTTCAATCGGGTGTATGAAGATTTCTCGTCGTGGGCCAATGGCGGTGTGTTCACTTTTGATCAGGGTGTGTTGGAGGTTAGCTGTATGAGGGATACGTGTATTTGCACCAATCTTGATCTTGGATACTTGAGTACCTTGCCTCCAGTCGAGGGGAAAGGGTGCGCCAAACATGAGCCGCGCTGGTGTAAGGCCTTTCGGGCAGCACTTGTAGGTGCATTGGAGGGAAGGTATACAGGCCCCTCAATCGAGGAGCTTGACAAGATTATCACCAATGCCGTTGCGATTTCCGGAGATCACGCTGGAGCTGATGGAGTAGCCGAAGAGGTTGATGAGGTTCTTGAGGACCTTTCATTGATTCCGGTTCAAGATGTCCCGCAGCCTGAGCCTGAGGGGACACCTTCTGATTCTCCAAAGAAGTCACTCTCCAAGAAGGATGTCGAGAGTTGGAAACAGCACATCCTGGACGGACATGTCCCCTTTAGAAGGGATTGCAGGTTTTGTGTCGAGGGAGCAGGCATCGGGATCCAGCATCGGAAAGTTCCCTATCCCAAGTCCTTTGCTTTATCGGTCGACCTTTTCGGGCCGGTTCCGAAGCATGAACATGGTCGTGACGAGACAAGTGTTTCGGGTCAGAATAACATTAGGTATGCCTTGATAGGTGCATTTCGCATTCCGAGAAGTGTTGTTCAAAACCTCAAGAGGGCAAGGTGTGACGCTGGCGTTGAGGATCTGTTTATGACGCCAGGTTCCGAGTTGTATCCTACTGCCAAGGATGATGGGCCCAGCCATGAAGGTGATGAGTTAAAGGTTGTTGATGATGCTCTCAATGAGCTTGAGGAGTATGAGCCTTCGCTTCCAGGTGAACCCCTTGATCAGTACCTTAGGGAGTATTATGGGTTAGATAGGGATGATGAGCTGCCTGGTGTTGAAGAATTTTCTTGCGAGGCAGTCACACTCGACGAAGAAAATACTGCCTTCGCCCCACCAGACCTCCCTGAAGACCCTGAAGAGCTCCAGGCATTGATACAGGAGCTTAAGGAACCGGTTGATCAAGTTGTGTTGAGGTATTGCATGCCCTTGAGGTCAAAGACTGGACAGGATGTGACCGAGGCACTGCAGAAATTAATCCTCGAAATCAATAAGAAGTACCCGGTTAAGATCCTCCACAGTGACCTCGGTACGGAGTTTTCATCATATGCACTTTCCAAGTGGACATCTTCGCAGGGAATTAGGATGCAACACACCTTGCCGACGGATAAGAAGGCGAACGGATTAGCTGAGCGTACGGTTGGGTGGTTTAAGGCCCGTATTAGGACCCTAATCAAGGCTGCTCGTCTGCCAATCCAATGGTGGCCTCTCGCTGCGCGGTGGGCTGCAAGTGCACACAATAGGTCTGTTGAGGGATGTCCGTCACTACCAGTGTTTGGCCAACCTGTGCTTCATCGCTTGAAACAGACTGCTGATGGATCACGCCAGATTGTGGGTCGATGGATCCAGCACAGGTATGCCGCTCCACATGTGTCGATTCCTGATGGACATGTGTTGATTTCAGACACAGGCAACCTCGTTGCATCAAAGGGTTTTAAGCCTGGTCTTGTTGACACGAATGAGTTTGAGGAGTTGAAACTTCCAGCCTTGGAAATTCAGGAGGAGATTGGACAACTCCCACAAGAAGCCGTACATGATACCCCTCCTGGGAAGAGATTGAGAAAGAAGACGGCGGTACGGTTTGTGGAGTGTTCACACTCACCTGATCCTGAGGCCTTCGCAACTGAGTGCATTATACGAGAGGATTTCTCCGATGGTGCATTTCACAGATTAATTGAGATCCTTTCTGAAGAAGAGAAGGGTGCAAGCGATAGGAGGGGTTCCTTCCAGGATAAGTTAGTTTTCGGTGCCTACTGCCATGGAGGAAAGCGAGGCACTACGAAGCTGACTCACCGTAGGCCTCTTACAACACAGTTCCTTAATAGGGTTCTTATGAGAGGTTTGCAGAATGGAATGAAGGTGGTTAATCCTCAGTGGGCCTCCTTGATGATTATTAGGTCCGGTGACGTACCCGTACATCGGGATTATCGCAACGAGTGGGACTCCAGAAATCATGTGCTGAGCATTCCCGGCCGTCTGCTTCTCTGGACTGATCCAGATTATGATCCAGCTCGGAAGGTTAAGGTTATCCCAGAACCAGACTGGAATTCGGAGACAGTGTCGGTGATTACTGGGAATTCTATTTCGTTTGACCCAAGGGTCCCACATGCAGTTCGCAAGCAACCTGGGTGGGTTTTGGTTGGATATACCCCTTTAGGTGCAAGTAAGCTAAGTACCCATGCGAAGGATTTTTTACGGTTGTGCGGATTTACCTTAGGTGAGTCTTTCCTTCAGGAGCCTTCTGTGAGGGTTGTCGATGCAACCCAGGGTGAACAGGACAGTGCTGAAGATTCGCCCACTGCAAATGAGCCTGATAGTCATGTAGGAGGATTCGATCAGGATTTGCAGCAGGATGCCAACACTCAGTTAGTCGGGTGGGATTTTTCCAGAGGCGACCCGGCTGAATTCCCAATTGATGATTTGGGTGAGGGTGATATGAGCCGCTTTCTTGAGGAACGAGGAGTTTCGTGTGAGCTAGGGAGGCTTACCCTCCATGGTGTTGACGATCCTCAGGATCTGCAGTACCTATATGAGGAGGACTTAATAGAAATGGGAATGCCGAGAATCACTGCGCAGCGCATTATGTTTGGCATTCATCCTGAAGGAACGAGGAGACCAGATAACCCTAACGTCTCGGGTCTTCAGACAGGTGAAGTTCGCCTACTGAGTAGAGAACATATGTTCATACCTCGAGTGATTCAGAATAGGACCCTAGACCCCCGTTGGTCCGGTGGTCCTCCGATTGGAGGCTTAGGTGTAAGGAGCCCTACACCTTCACCCCACAATCGCATGTTGTTGCCGAATGATAATGATGTCTGTATTGGCGAACCTGCCAGCTCGAGTTCCCGCTGTCCGCGCGGACTTCAGGTTCAGGAGGAGCAGGACACGGTTGGTGTATGGGAGGATGAGTGGGTTACTCCAATTGAAGAGTTAGGAGTTTATCCATCGGAATCATCCACACAGGTTCCATGTGCAAGTGCAGGCATAGGCCAGATCACAGGTACCACCTTCCACACAGGTGCCGCAGGTCAGGTCCCAAGTGCAAGTGCAGGCATAGGCCAGGTCACAGGTACCACTTTCCACACAGGTGCCGCAGGTCAGGTCCCAAGTGCAAGTGCAGGCATAGGCCAGATCACAGGTACCACCTTCCACACAGGTGCCGCAGGTCAGGTCCCAGGTGCAAGTGCAGGCATAGGCCAGGTCACAGGTACCACCTTCCACACAGGT